AGAAAACAGAGTTGTTTGTCTGTGAACTTTGGTTTATTTTTTTAAACAAATTGCCTTGCAAAAGGAAAGAAATAGGTTTATGGCAAATAACTAGAGATTTAGCTATGCATATTATAAATATAATTATGCAATATAATATATATTGCACATAGGAAAGGCATAAATGCATAAATGTTTGTTATATGTATTTTATAGAATTATACATATATTCATATAATGATATGTACCACATACGTAAGTATATTGTATACTTTATAGATGTGATCTTTAATATATGCATATTATGTGTCTTAGATGTATATATTTGTAATATATACTATATATATGCACATATATGTAGAGATAGAGTATATAAAACATACATACAAGTCTATATGGGATGTATGTATAAGTGTACATGCATTACACACATATATATGCACATGTTTTATAAAAAATTTATAATAATTATTTTAAAATTATGTGTATAAATTTTAAATAAAAAAAATTATTAATACATACATAAATAAATAATTGGATGGATGGATTTCCCAAATCTAAATACATTGAAGTTATAAGTGGTAAGCTCTTGGCTGTGGGGGAAGCAGGGAGTTTGTGGGTAGTGCCAGCTGGGCAGGCAGGGGCTGTGGTGGGGCACAGGGCCCTCTCTGACCCCACACCTCTCTCTTCCCTTGCAGGCCAGCCCGAGGTTGCTCCCACCCTCTACGTCTTCCCGTTGCCCTCCGAGCAGATCTTGAAGGAGAACAAACTCATGCTGGTGTGTATGTTAGATGGCTTCTACCCCGGCCATGTGGATGTGGAATGGTGGGCTGACGGCATCATCCTCACAAGCAACGTGGAGACCAGTCAACCCGTGCGGCAGAGCAACGGCAAGTACATGGCCAGCAGCTACCTGTCATTGGACACCAGCCAGTGGCAAAGGTACGACGTATTCTCCTGCAAGGCCAAGCACGAGGCTGGCAATGTGGAGAAGACCATGAACAGATCCTAGTGCCCCTAAGCTCACTGGGACCTCCTCGCACCCACCAGCCCTTTGCTGGCTCCCTCCCTCCTCCCCACTTCTGGGGACAGCGGCTCCCCACAGCCGCACACCTCGCTCCCCACGTCCCCCTGTCCCCTGCTCCTGTCCCCCCACTCTGAGTGTCAGACAAATAAAAACAGACACTGAACTAGTGCTGGCTCAGCATCCCTGTCTCTGTGTCCTTCCAATGTGCTCGTTCCCCATGCACCAACTGGTGTCAGCCCAGTGCCACCAGTACGGAGGGTGGGATGGGAACACACACGTGTACACACACACACACACTTGTACGGGGGGGGGCTCTGTGCAGCTTCTGCTCAACCCTGGGGACCCCAATGAACCCCCCTGGCACGGCCAATTCCAGGGGATGAGCAGCCTGGGGCACAGCCTGCTCTAAATCCCCATGCCATCATCAAGCACATGTCCTTGGCTGTGCCATCCTTGTCCCTTGACCACTGCCCTCTGGGTGCCTTGCAGGAACACATGGCCTGTGGTGGGGGCATGCAGACATGTCCTTTTGCTGCCAGCCCTGGCTCTGCCCCCATTTCCTCACTCACCCCTGCACTTCCCAGAATGGGGGTGCCAGTGTAGCCACCAGTCAAGCACATGCACCACTCTGTCCCTTGCACCCTGTGCCACAATCTATGCTAACAGCAATAGACCCTCGAACATCCCTTCGCGATTCTCCAGATCCACATCCGGCAACACGGACACATTAACCATCACTGGGGTCCAAGCCGAGGACGAGGCTGTCTGTTTCTGTGGTGGTAAGGACAGCAGCAGTGATGCTGCCACAGTGACATGGAGCAATAGGGAAGTAATACAAAACCTACCTGGCTTAGCTGTCCATTACAGCCCCAGGTCTGTGCCCATCCCCTGGCATTTGAGGAAGTTACGACCTCCCAGCAGCCCTATCATGGCCCAGCATGTCCAATCTGTGTGCCTGCAGGCAGAATTGTCCCATCACTGTTCCCCTGCCTGCAGAGGGCTGTGTGCTCCAGGATCAGTGGCTGACAGTCCTTTTCTCCCCTCTCTCCTCTCCAGGTTGCTTGGTCCAGGCACTGTTGTGTCATCTCTCCTTGGTGTCAGCGGTCCTGGCACAAACTTTTGAGGTCATGTGTTCCAGAGTTGGCTGGTCCCAGGGCTGGTCCCAGGAGAAGGTTCCTGGCAGTGCCTCCATCTGTCACTGTGAACTATGAGAACACCCAGGGACCCTTGGACGTCCCTTTGCCATTCTCTGCATCCACATCCAGTTCCATGAGCACCTGAACCATCACTGGGGTCCAAGCTAAGGAAGGGGCTGTCTGTTACTGTGTTCACTACAAAAGCAGCAGCAATAGTGTTACCACAGTCACTTGGAGAAACGGGGAAATGATAGAAAGCTCTCCTGCCTCCTCCAGTTAGGAGTCTCTGCTGTCCCCATTTCGTGGCAGGGCAGGTCCCTGGCATGAATCTGCCCTTTTTGCCCTGTGCTAATGTGGCTGTGCCTGGTGTCCCAGCACCATCCAGGAGAGCCCTTCCCTTGCTTTTTGTGGAGGAGAGCACATGGGAAAGAACCGAATAACCTATTTCAGGAGGAGGAGCCCTCAATGATCACATTGTCCAACTGCCTGGCCACTGCAGGGCTGCCAAAATGAAGGGCATTGTCAACACACGCAGACGGGGGATATCATCCAACTCTCTAGGAAGCCTGTTGAGTGTTTGGCCACAGCCTCAACAAAGAAATGCTGAGATGACCTTTCAGCAACCCTGTCCCCACCATGGCCCTGCCCTTACTGCCCTGTGCTGCAGGTGGCTGTGCCCAGTGTCCCAGCTCAGACATCCCGTACAGCCCCAGGTCTGATCCCATCCCCTGTTGTTTTTGCAGGGCATCTAAAGGGCTTGGGAACAGACTAATCTCCATGGC